GAGAGAACGTAGTTATGGTGTAAGGTGAAAATGTATTGTTTATAACAGATAATCCAGATAGAAATATGAACTAGTCATAGTAAATAAAAGTTTTAAAACTTTTTATCTTGTTATCTCAGTTAATCAACCAGATCTGTTCTCTGACAAGGTTCAGGTCAATAAACAATCGCCTCTGCCCACCTGTTTTGAGGCGACTGAGATGCTTTTGCTGTGACTTTTCAGGAAAAATTGAAATAAAGTCAAACTTCTTAATCACTCACATTAAATGTTAGTCAGGCTGTTCGCTTCACAAAGCAACTATAAGATCTAGCTTTCAGCTTTTCTGTCAATTATAGGGGCAAACAAGCTGTTTTCAGCTTGACTCGCTTTCACACCCCTTTAGTGGCAGAAACTTCAGGGAGCTTCATTAGCTAATGCTTCGGCCTTGAAGGGGAATTTCACTGTTTTTTCAAAATTTCCCGTTGCAACTTAAAGAAAGAGTGATTTTATGTGAAATGGTTCATTGCAGAGAACCTTGCCGACTCAGATTTATTTACAGTGGTGGTGATAGGAACCAGGGGTCAGGGGTTATATCTACAATATAAATATAGCCATTTTATTCACCCTCCGGGCGGCACGGTGGCGCAGTGGGTAGCGCTGTCGCCTCACAGCAAAAATGGCCTGGGTTCGATTCCAGGCCGGGTGACCAGGGTCGTTTCTGTGTGGAGTTTGCCTGTTCTCCCCGTGTCTCAGTCAAAATTATCTTAAAACAATGTCTTAGATATCAGTCAGCGTATTCTTAACCACTTTATGTTTGAACTATCTGTGAGTGAGATTTTAGAGGCATTGAAGACGTCTGGTTCCTATCACCACCACTGTGAACAATTCTGACAGAACATTAGGCATCAAACAAAATGGCTTGGTTCACATCTTAACTATCAAATTGTTGAAAGAATTGGAAAAATCAGTGCAATTTCGCCTTTAACAAAAGAAAAAGCTTGCGAATACTAAATAAGGAAACTAGTACCAACATAACATTTTATCCCGCATGTAAACAGTCACTAAAGTAGCTTTTCATCTGAGAAATGTCACTAAAGTTCAGCCTTTTCTCTCTCAGAGCGACGCAGAGAAACTTGTTCATGCATTTGTTACAGCAGAGTTGATCACTGTAATGATCTTCTTACTGGACTTTCTGAGAAAACAGTCTGTCCTTTACAACTCAGACAAAATGCAGCAGCATCCTAACAAAAACAACACAGAGAGATCAGATCAGTCCCGCTTTAAAAGAACTGCACTGGCTGCCTGAATCACTCAGGATAGATTTTAAAGCTCTGCTACTAGTTTTTAAAGCTCTAAATGACCTTAAAGCACCACTTACATCACAGAGTGTCTGTCTGTCTATGATCTTAGATCTGCAGATACTGACCTTCTACAGACACCTTCAGTAAAATACAGAAAACGTGGAGAGACTCGTTCAGTTATTCTGCTTCTAAACTGTGGAGCTCAGTTCAGCTTTTATTAGACAGTCGAGCTCAGAGCTCACTTTTAATAAACATCTAAAAACGGACCACTTTAACTCAGCACTTCATTAAAACTCTACATCTCTTTGTTTTTTATCTTTTAATTTGATCTGTGATTTTCTTATATATCCAAATTAATACTTATAATTTATTGTATTACTGTTAAGCTTTATCTCCTGTCTGTAAAGCACTTTAAGCTGCCAGTGCTATATAAATCATACATCATCTAAACCGCTTATCCTTCTGGGTCGCGGTGGGGTGCTGGAGCCTATCCCAGCTGTCATTGGGCGGAAGGCAGGATACACCCTGGACAGGTCGCCAGTCCAAGTGCTATATAAATGAAAAGTATTGTATTATTATTATTATTATTACTATTATATTATAACAAATGCATACTCAAGTATCCGAATTATTTGTGTTAATAGAAGCACAATCTCACGAATGCACTGCAATGTTTGCTTATCAAATAAAAGGCCAGGAACCGTACTAAACACCATCAGACCTTCTCAGAGCATCCAGGCTCAGCGGCTGTTCATCACATTTGAATGACTACAGTTGTTCAGTTGGTCTGAGATCAGCACTCTGAGGTGATTCCACTCAGACAGACAATGACTAAGAGCTCAGACGGGAGAGAGCTGAGCGTTTCCACAGGAAAGAGGAAACCCACTGTCACACACACAATGCGGACAGTTAGATGGATGTGAGATTTGTTTTGTGTGCTGAGGCTCTTTCTATTGACCTGAAAGGAGACGGTGGACCGCAGGGAGGATTCCAAAGCCGCAGGCCTGCGCAGTGGCTAGGCCACTGCAGAAATAAACAGGGACAGCACTCCGTCTTCGCAGCGCTTTGAGAGTATTTCTTTGTGTCTTGACTTTTGTCCATGCGGCTCTGGCAGGCTGGACTACTGTAACTGTAAAATAACATTAGGAAGTGGACTGGAGGGTGGGCTGAAATTCCTCAGCAGCCCACATGAAAGGCCACTCGGCTGTGAAGAGCTGGAGTGCACATCTGCAGCGTGCACTCTCAGTGCTCTTCTAAACAGGTAATGGTGAAGTATCGTGCAGAGCTGATCACACCCAGAGACGTCTCTGACAGCTCTCTCGTCTCTCTGCCCTGCGGACGCCTTAAACGGCACGAATAGCTTCATACTGACCGTTCAGTTTCTCTGCTACAGCACTTTTTAACCTCATGAAGGGCTTGTTAATGAGCTGAAGGGTTGAATCAGGTGTGATAGAGCAGGAGGATGCTGGAATGGTCAGTGCAAGGGTCAGGTTAGGAAACACTAGATTGGTCTACAAGCAGAAGAAGCTGTTAATCATCAGCCTGTCCAGCAGGTCAACAGAGACACGTTACATTGCATCACTACACAAGTTATTACTTCTCAATACTGCACATTTACTGATCCCCTGCTTCAACATCCCCATTGGCTTAGAAACGAACCAAAGAGTTGAATCAGATGTGGGAAGCTCAGCAGTGCTCAGGGGGAACTCCATGAGCAGGATTGGGAAACACTTCAGAAAAAGCTGCCTTTCAAAGTCGCGCCAGAAGATTTACCACAGGACAACAGAGCCACTTCGCATTATAGCAGCACAGTTGCGTATCGAGCAAACCTCATAACAGTGTGTTCATGTGTTCCTGACTCCAGAGGCAGGACTGGGAAAGCCTCAAGGCCTGTAGTAATGTATTGTAATGTAATGATGCAGTGTGCACTGATGTAATAACTGCAGCAGTGCAATACGGCTGCAGGTAAAGAACTACAGTACTTCACTTTACTGCACACTGCATCAGCACTGCTCCTCAGTCTGTTAACCTTATGAACCGCTGGGTAATGAGCTGATCGTCTAAATCAGGTGTTCCATGTTTAATTAGTGCAGTAATGTGTATTAAACACAGCCAGTTATAAAACTGCCCCGTACATAGTAACCGCTGCCCTTTTAAATCTTTTAAGTACCACTTTTACCCCAGATCTGCTCCCTTACTCCTAACTGCCCCCTTTAACTTGTAACTGCCTCCTTTACCCTGGCTGTTCATACCTTCTACCATAACGCCCCTCTTTCCCCTCTATCTAACCTCTTTCCTCTCTATCTGCCCCCTTTACCCCATAACTAACCTATTTTCCCTCTATCTGCCCTCTTTACCTCATAACTACCCTCTTTCCTCTCTATCTGCCCCCTTTACCCCATAATTAACCTCTTTTTTTCTCTATCTGCCCCCTTTACCCCATAACTAACCTCTTTCTTCTCTACCTGCCACCTTTACCACATAACTACCCTCTTTCCTCTCTATCTGCCACCTTTACCACATAACTACCCTCTTTTCTTTCTATCTGCCACCTTTACCCCATAACTACCCTCTTTCCTCTCTATCTGCGCCCTTTACCACATAACTACCCTCTTTCCTCTCTATCTGCCCCTTTACCACATAACTACCCTCTTTCCTCTCTATTTGCCCCCTTTACCCCATAACTAACCTTTTTCTTCTTTATCTGCCCCCTTTACCACATAACTACCCTCTTTCCTCTCTATCTGCCCCCTTTACCCCATAACTAACCTCTTTCCCTTCTATCTGCCCCCTTTACCCCATAACTACTCTCTTTCCTCTCTATCTGCCCCTTTACCACATAACTACCCTCTTTCCTTTCTATCTGCCCCTTTACCCCATAACTACCCTCTTTCCCTTCTATCTGCCCCCTTTACCCCATAACTAACCTTTTTCTTCTTTATCTGCCCCCTTTACCACATAACTACCCTTTTTCCTCTCTATCTGCCCCCTTTACCACATAACTACCCTCTTTCCTCTCTATCTGCCCCTTTACCACATAACTAACCTTTTTCTTCTTTATCTGCCCCTTTTACCCCATAACTAACCTCTTTCCTTTCTATCTGCCCCCTTTACCCCATAACTACCCTCTTTCCTTTCTATCTGCCACCTTTACCCCATAACTAACCTCTTTCCTTTCTATCTGCCCCTTTACCCCATAACTACCCTCTTTCCTCTCTATCTGCCCCTTTACCCCATAACTACCCTCTTTCCTCTCTATCTGCCCCTTTACCACATAACTAACCTTTTTCTTCTTTATCTGCCCCCTTTACCCCCTAACTAACCTCTTTCCTTTCTATCTGCCCCCTTTACCCCATAACTACCCTCTTTCCTTTCTATCTGCCACCTTTACCCCATAACTAACCTCTTTCCTCTCTATCTGCCCCCTTTAACCCATAACTAACCTCTTTCCTCTCTATCTGCCCCTTTACCCCATTACTATCCTCTTCCCACCCTCTTTACCCAATAACTACCCTCTTTCTGCACCCTTTACCCCATAACTACTTTCTTTATGCCCCTCCACCCCATAACTGCCCTCTTTCCCCTCTATCTGTCCCCTTTTACCCCATAACTCCCCTCTTTATGCCCCTTCACCCCATAACTCCCCTCTGACCCCTCTATCTGATCCTTTTTACCTCATAACTACCCTCTTTTCCCTTTATCTGCCCCGGGTGGTCCTACCTCCTGTGCTCGGTGTTGCTCGCGCCGCTGTACCGGTACTGTCCGGAGCTCCATGTGGCGCGCGCGACACCAATCAACAGCAGCAGCAGCGACGCGCGAACACTCCACCGGTGCCGGGGTCCCATCTCACCCGCTCGTGCTCTCTCTCTCTCTCTCTCTCGACGCAGAGCCCTCGATCTACGCACGAGCTGCTTCAGTCACGGTCACGCGCTCGCGGAACACTAACTTAAGTCCATTTAGGAAGAGACGAACTTTCACGAGCGAGGGGCAGGAACAGAGGAGCGGCGCGCGCTGAGTGCTCCCAAAAAACACCTTCCAAACTTCCTCAAAGACCAAACAAAACTTTAGCACGAGCCCAGAAACACACTGCTCCACTGCCCCATCAGCAGCACGCGGGCTCCGTCCCGTCCGCACGAGCGCGACCACAGCCAGGAGAGCGGCAGCTTTATAGGCTCGCGAGACTGACTGCTGCAGAGAGCCAGGCTGTGGAGTGTTTTACCCAGCCCACCTCACACACACACACACACACACACACACACACACACACACTCACACGCACACACACACACACGCACACACACACACACGCGCGCGCGCGCGCGCACACTCACACACGCTCGCGCAGCCTCGCTGGATCACATTTCAGCTCTGACTGAATCTGAAAACTTTAAGCAGCTCAGACTGAAACAGAAACACTCTTCACCACAGCAGCCGAGCAGCCGCGTCTACACCGCATTATACACTAAACACACAGACCAGACTTCAAACAAGATGTGCATTAAATATATATGTAACACGGACAGTTCCGGTCCTTAATCTGATTGGCTGAGCCGCGTTAGAAGCCGTTGTCAAATCCACGTTTCTGACTGAAACACGAACATTTGAGGCGTTTAAGACATTCGAGTTACATTTTCAGCCTTTATACTGCAGTTTTATCACCTCTGTCCCCTCTATCTGCCCCTTTACCCCATAACTCCCCTCTGTCCCCTCTATCTGCCCCTTTACCCCATAACTCCCCTCTGTCCCCTCTATCTGCCCCTTTACCCCATAACTAACCCCTGTCCCCTCTATCTGCCCCTTTACCCCATAACTCCCCTCTGTCCCTTCTATCTGGCCCTTTACCCCGAAACTCCCCTCTGTCCCCTCTATCTGCCCCTTTACCCCATAACTACCCTCTGTCCCTTCTATCTGCCCCTTTACCCCGAAACTCCCCTCTGTCCCTTCTATCTGCCCCTTTACCCCGAAACTCCCCTCTGTCCCCTCTATCTGCCCCTTTACCCCATAACTACCCTCTGTCCCCTCTATCTGCCCCTTTACCCCATAACTACCCTCTGTCCCCTCTATCTGCCCCCTTTACCCCATAACTCCCCTCTGTCCCCTCTATCTGCCCCTTTACCCCATAACTCCCCTCTGTCCCCTCTATCTGCCCCTTTACCCCATAACTACCCTCTGTCCCCTCTATCTGCCCCCTTTACCCCATAACTCCCCTCTATCTGCCCCTTTACCCCATAACTCCCCTCTGTCCCCTCTATCTGCCCCTTTACCCCATAACTACCCTCTGTCCCCTCTATCTGCCCCCTTTACCCCATAACTCCCCTCTGTCCTGTCTATCTGCCTCCTTTACCCCATAACTACCCTCTGTCCCCTCTATCTGCCCCCTTTACCCCATAACTACCCTCTGCCCCCTCTATCTGCCCCTTTACCCCATAACTGCCCTCTTACCCCTCTATCTGCCCCCTTTATCCCTTAGCTACCCTCTTTATGCCCCTTTACCCCATAACTACCCTCTTCCTCCTCTATCTGCCCCTTTACCCCAAAACTAACCTCTTTCCCCTCTATCTGCCCCCTTTACCCCATAACTCCTCTCTTTTTTACAGTAAATCAGACTGTAAGTGCTTTAATTCAAGCCTGTGATATTAATGATGGAGCTGTTTAGGCTGTTGGCTCTTTTAGCCTGTTAGCTAGCCGACCAACCAGGTTCTAGATAAGAACATGAGCTGTCAGCCCCTCAGTTTAAACAGAAAACGGGTTCTTACTTCATCAGTACACTCGGTTCTCCATGCGAGCAGCATTAGAGTCAAAGATCATTCCATGAACAGCAGAAGGGTTTTTCTGATGTGGTGCAGTGATACAGAGTTCAGCGGTTGTGAGTCGGTCACAGATCTGCATATATCATTGATTTTACAGCCAATCAGGCTCAGCCAATCAGATTTTAGGACCGGAACTATATGTTGTTGTGTAACACACTGGCATCAATTAAACAACACCGTTATATTAAAGGGTCTTGTACAGCAAAGAATAAACGGCTTTAATAAGACTACATTCTTAAAAAAGATGGTTCTTCAAGGGTTCTTTAGTACAGACAGTGGTTCTACACTCAAAGAACCCTTTGCATGATTATAGCACCAGAAAGGGTTCTGCTATAGTTATGGTGTCAAGCTCGTAAGAATAGAAGAACCCTAAGTGCTATATAGAACAATGAAAAAGGATATTATTATTTATTATTTATTATTATTTAGGGTAATATTTAACATAATTGTAATAAATAAGTAAATAAACAAACAAACAAACAATAATAATAATAATTATTATTATTATAATAATAATGATAATTTACTGGCCAGATAAATCACTTTTTATTCCTAAGTTTCAAACGTTTGCATGGTGCTTTATATAAAAGTAATATTTAATCAAAAATGAACAGGGAACTTAAATATGACACTTTTCTGCAAATTTCATTGCAGAATTTCTATTTGTTTCCTGAGTTTTTACCATTTTTGAAACAATAAAACATTAAACATACCATTTAAAGCAGGGGTGTCCACTCGCATCCGCTGAGGGCCGGCGTGGCTGCAGGTTTGCGCCCCAACAGAGCAGGAGGTCACCTGATGAAGTGATTGAAGACTAGGACTGATTAAAGAAGTGGAATCAGGTGTGCTTCAGCTTTCTGGAGCGAAAACCTGCAGCCGATAAATGTGCCATAACTTTTCCAGAGGCCGCATTTTTCGCTTTATTTTTCCCCGATATGTTAAATAAACTTAACACAAAAGTGGAATCTGACCGGGGCGCACAAACTTTCACACACGACCGCATGTTAGACTTTCCTTAAAGACCAAAAGTTCAGATATGCAATATTTTCATCAGTTCACATTGCAAATATGAGCCACATGTGGAATAAGAGATTCACTATCTGGATTCACCAAATTACATATTAATATTCATTATTAATATTCATATTTTATTAATTGATTTTATTACATATTATAATATTTATTCAATCATTTTAATGTTTATTCAATCCAGACTGAACCATCACGAATTCAGATCATTATGAATTGTAGTTAGTATATAAAATCTCTTTTCTCATCCCCCTCTCTCCTATCTTTCTTTCCTCTCTCTCTCGTTTCACTTTTTTATTCCTCTATCTTCCTTCCCTTTTTCCTCTTTTCTTTCTTTCTTTCCTTTTTTCTCTTTCTGTCTTTCTTTCCTCTCTCGTTTCATTTTTTTATTCCTCTATCTTCCTTCTCTTTTTCCTCTTTTCTTTCTTTCTTTCCTTTTTTCTCTTTCTGTCTTTCTTTCCACTCTCATTTCTCTATTTTACTCGTCCATCTCCCTTCTCTCATTCCCCTTCTTCATTCTTTTTTCATCTCTCTATCTCTTTTCTTATCCCCCTCTCTCTCCTATCTTTCTTTCCTCTCTCTCGTTTCACTTTTTTATTCGTCTTCCTTCTTTTTCATCTCATTTCTTTCTTTCTTTCCTTTTTTCTCCGTCTTCTTCACCTCTTTCTGTCTCTTTCCACTCTCTCGTTTCTCTATTTTACTCCTCCATCTCCCTTCTCTCATTCCTCCTCTTTCTTTTACTTTCTTTCTTTTTCTCTTTCTCGCTTATTCCTCTATCACCTCATCTATCTCTTATTTTCCTCTTTTCTTCCTTTTCCTCTCGTTTCTCTATTTTACTCATCCTTTTCTCGTTTTCCTCTTTTCTTTCTTTCTTTTACTCCTCTATCTCCCTTCTCTCATTGTCCTCTCTCCTCTTTCTTTCTCTTCCTGTCTTCTTTTCCTCTCTCGTTCCTCTATTTTTCTCGTCCATCTCCCTTCTCTCATTCCTCCTCTTTCCTTTACTTTCTTTCTTTTTCTCTTTCTCACTTATTCCTCTATCACCTCACCTTTATCTCTCATTTTCCTCTTTTCTTCCTTTTCCTCTCGTTTCTCTATTTCACTCATCCTTTTCTCGTTTTCTTTTCTTTCTTTTACTCCTCTATCTCCCTTCTCATTTTCCTCTCTTTCTTTCTTTCTCTTCCTGTCTCCTTTTCCTCTCTTGTTCCTCTATTATTCTTTTACTTTCTTTTTCTTTCTCGCTTATTCCTCTATCACCTTTATCTCTCATTTTCTTCCTTTTTCTTACTCTTCCTGTTTTCTTTTCCTCTCTCTCGTTTCTCTATTTTACTCATCCTTTTCTCGTTTTCCTTTTTCTTTCTTTCATCTCTCTCTCATTTCTCTATTTTACTCCTCTATCTCCCTTCTCTCGTTTTCCTCTCTCTCTTTTCTTTCTTTCTTACTTTCTTTCTCTTCATTCTTCAGATTCATTATCTGGATTCACCAAATTACATATTAATATTAATATTTTATTAATTGATTTTATTACATATTGTAATATTTTTCAATCATTTTAATGTTTATTCAATCCAGACTGAACCATCACGAATTCAGATCATTATGAATCGTAGTTAGTCGTAATATAAAATATTGCCACTCGTTCCTTTATTTTTCTCGTCCATCTCTCTTCTCTCATTCCCCTTCTTCATTCTTTTTTCACCTCTATCTTTTTTCTCATCCCTCTCTCTCCTATCTTTCTTTCCTCTCTCGTTTCACTTTTTTATTCCTTTATCTTCCTTCTTTTTCCTCTTTTCTTTCTCTTTCCTTTTTTCTGTCTTCTTCACCTTTCTGTCTTTCTTTCCTCTCTCCTTTCTCTATTTTACATCTCCATCTCCCTTCTCTCATTCCTGCTTTCTTTTACTTTCTTTTTCTTTCTCGCTTTTTCCTCTATCATCTTTATCTTTTTCCTCTTTTCTTCCTTTTACTCTCTTGTTTCTATTTTACTCTTCCTTTTCTCGTTTTCCTCTCTTCTTTTTCTTTCTTTCTTTTACTCCTCTATCTCCCTTCTCTCATTTTCCTCTCTCTTTTCTTTCTTTCTCTTCCTGTCTTCTTTTCCTCTCTCGTTCCTCTATTTTTCTCGTCTATCTCCCTTCTCTCATTCCTCCTTTTTCCTTTACTTTCTTTCTTTTTCTTTCTCGCTTATTCCTCTATCACCTCACCTTTATCTCTCATTTTCCTCTTTTCTTTCTTTCTCTTCCTGTCTTCTTTTCCTCTCTCTCTTTTCTCTATTTTACTCCTCTATCTCCCTTCTCTCATTTTCCTCTCTCTCTTTTCTTTCTTTCTCTTCATTCTTCAGATTCATTATCTGGATTCACCAAATTACATTATTTTATTAATTGATTTCATT